TAATAATTGTTATTCCATGTGTAATAATTGTTACTACATGTGTAATAATTGTTATTCCATGTGTAATAATTGTTATTCCATGTGTAATAATTGTTATTCCATGTGTAATAATTGTTATTCCATGTGTAATAATTGTTACTACATGTGTAATAATTGTTATTCCATGTGTAATAATTGTTACTACATGTGTAATAATTGTTACTACATGTGTAATAATTGTTATTCCATGTGTAATAATTGTTACTTCATGTGTGATAATTGTTATTCCATGTGTAATAATTGTTATTCCATGTGTAATAATTGTTACTACATGTGTAATAATTGTTACTACATGTGTAATAATTGTTATTCCATGTGTAATAATTGTTATTCCATGTGTAATAATTGTTACTACATGTGTAATAATTGTTACTACATGTGTAATAATTGTGATTACATGTGTAATAATTGTTATTACATGTATAATAATTGTTATTACATGTATAATAATTGTTATTCATGTGTAATAATTGTTATTCATGTGTAAAAATCATGTGTAATAATTGTTATTCATGTGTAATAATTGTTATTCCATGTGTAATAATTGTTACATGTGTAATAATTGTTACATGTGTAATAAGGGGCTGAGAAGGCCAGGTCCAGGTGTAATTATTACCTGAGCTCTGACTGTTTGGGTGCACCTGTGGTGAACTTTGACCCAGAAGGAGACACTTCTCGGTTTGTTTTTCCTCCTCGTGGGAGAATCACTCCTCCGCATTTTTCAGATTCGCCGCCCGGCCTGAATGCAGACGGAACCGGTTTAAAAAAAAAAAAAAGGAACGAGAGAAAGAAAATAGGATGTCGACCAGAGGCGACGCAGGAGAACAGGAGCTGAGAGCTGCTGGAAGAGGCGGAGGAGGAGGAGGAGGAGGAGGAGAGACAGCGACGCCTCCTCGCGCCACGGTGCGACCGACTCGTACTGCAAGGTAACTGGGGGGAAAAAACACTTTAAAGTCCACTTCATCCCGTCGCTTTGTTGTTATTATCGAGCCTTTTGAGCTTTTAACGACTTCAGCGGAACTCTTCGCACTTCTCGAGCCTCTGTTTCCCGTTTAACCGTGTTTTTCACGGACAGAGGAGCCTCTGCTCCGAACTCCGTTCACAAATGCGTGACATTTAACGATTTGACGTTTTTCTGGAAATGTACTTAGCGCATCGAGGAAAATAAATGTTCTCCAAGTTCGGTTATTAATTCGGGTGAATTCCGCTTTAAAATATTAACTCGTCTCGTCTGATTTAAGATGTAGGGCTCGTTTTTCCTCCGTGACGAGTTTCCTTGGATTGCTGACAAACCCTGAAGTTCGMTTCTGATTTCAAAATATACTGTCTGCACCATGTTTTTAAAACTACTTTAAAAACTAAAGTAATTAAAAAGTTCAAACCTGGACTAARTTATTATATACTCAAAGCAAAATTGTAAAAACAAACTCTGAAAATTAGAAAACGTTTATTTTATTATTAAAGCTTAAAAAAGGCAGTTTAACACTTTTTTATTTAGACCAGGGGTTCCCAAACTTTTCAGCCTTTGACCCTGAAAACCCCAGCTGCAGAGACCTGAGCCCCCAGCTGCAGAGACCTGAGCCCCCAGCTGCAGAGACCTGAGCCCCCAGCTGCAGAGACCTGAGCCCCCAGC